CTGGCTCAGCCAAATGCTATTTCTCAAAGGTCATAATTCTCACATCCTCTTTGTGGAATCTTTCTCCTTTTTGCATATTTATAATCCGTGGCCTCTAAGTAGTCTATTGACTTCTAAAGTTGTTGACTTGGCAAGACAACTGCATCATTCACACAAGCAAATCTGCTCTTGGGGGACAAAACAAGGTTTATTTTGGCTTAGATGACTCCAATTGGTCATCTCCATTGAAACCTTGGCAGAAGATAAGTCCCTTTGCTGTGGGGAAGAAAAGGCAAGTAAACCTTTAGTGCCAGGAGCAGTGTTTGTAAATATCCCGCATGAAGTGATACATTTCGTCCTTAGGTTTCCATTGGCTTCAACCCAAACAGAATCGCTTAGTGCTGTTCCCTGGGTTAATGTTTTCAAAACAAATGACTCGAAGCGAGAACTGAAAGGCTGAGTGCTTTGGTGGAGATGTGCAAAAATTTGAGTCAATCAGAACAGGCTTAGCAGATCTGCCACCAGCATAACAGGGCTTAGCTTTTGTTTGCTGTTTCTGTGATCCTTCATGGGCGGCTGTCATTTCTGTTGTCTGGTTTCTACTGTTTCAACCGCAGCAGACCCTACTTTTTCTTCCCTGAGTGTGCTTATCTGCCCAGCTGCAAAGAAACAAAAGGTCTGCTGTTGTTTCTGCACTTCTTCTCCCTGTCTTCATCCCTGAACATCATATGCGTGCAAAGAAATCAGACTTGTTGCTCTGTTGTCAGGAAAAGGTTTAGCCCTGAGTTTGCTGAGGTGATGATAAAGGTTGTGTGAAGCTGTGTTAAACGTCGAGAGACATGCACACAGGCTGCAGAACATGTGTGTTATTCGCTCAATGCATGCACTGACTTAGAATGAGCCACTGTGCAAAGGATGCCCCAGAGAGACTATTCCCTATACATTATTATTGAGTGTATGATATCCAAGAAAGCAAATGGATAAAGAAATGCCTATTATCTAAACCTAAATTACTCACTCACTCTCAGTGTTAACTTCCCTCATCCTTGAGAACAGGCCATCCATGTAAAAACCAAAATGCACTTTTAAAAAGTGTATTCATGCTACACTTTATCCTCATGATTTTTCCTTGATAATGTGTTCTATGTTGAGAATCTTTAAATAAAACTACTCAACCACCAAAAAATTATTTCTCCCCATTTCTATTCATTAGTCCTTCTAATCTTGAAGGCTGATTTCAATGATCATATATTCCTCACAACTTGATACAATTTCTTCCTTTTAAAGTCCCACTGAATATCATTTATATTTATCCCATGCTACTTTTTTATTCTAGTTTATAATTACTTGTGAACTTTCCTAGTTTCCTCTCCCAAACACACAAACCCTTTAGCTATTTCCATGGGAGGCTCTTTTACGTATTACTCTTCACACCCTCAGCCATGGGATGTGCAGGAGACACTAATGGATCTAGTGTATCACACATGAAGCAGATCACCAAGATGACAATTACAATCAGCAAATCCCAGTGTCCACTGAAAACAATAACAAGGGTAAAAAGACAATGGCTGAGAAGGGAGTAATAAGTGTTCATGAAGAAGAATTTCTTAAGCCTCAGCATCTTAGCAGCTATAACAGAATGCCATAACAATGACAAAAGTAATTTGAGTGTGAAGTTACACCATAACATACAAATGCATCTGTCAATGAGGCCATTAGAAATCATCCAGGCTGAAGGTCCCAAACACCCACCATAACTTTCTGATTCAAGAGGGCACATGCAGGGAAACTGTACTGTTAAAAAGCACTCCTGTCAGGAAAAAGGCAAAAAATGTCCCCTCTCACCATTCCTTCTCAACACTATACTGGACATCCTAACCAAAACAATAAGACAAAAAAGGAACTAAAGAGTATACAGGCTGGGAAGGAAAAAATATTAAACTGTCTTTGTTCACAGGTGACATTATTGGCTATCTTAATTACCAAAGAACTGATGAAGTTTCTGAAACTAATAAGCAATTATAGCACAGTTGCAGAAGACAAGATTACTACACAAAAATCAACTCCTTTCCTATATACCAGAATTCAACAAGTGGCATTTGAAATTAGAAGCACAGTACCATTTACATTAGCACCCCCCACGGTGAAATACTTATGCATGAATCTAACAAAATATGTATGAGTCCTGGATAGAAAAATGACAAAACTCTGATGAAAGATGTAAAAAAAAATTAAATAAATGGAGTGATATTCCATGTTCATGAATACAAAGACTCAGTATAGTCAAGACACCAGTTCTCCCCAAATTAATTGAAACATTCAATGTAAACCCATCAAAATATTACTAAATTATTTTGTGGATATTTTGTGGGCAACCTGAATCTATCGTTTATATGAAGAGGCAAAAAAACCAGAATAGACAACTCAGTAATGAAAGAATAAAGGTAGAGGACTCACACTACCTGACCTCAAGACTTACAAGAAAGCTACAGTAATCAAGACAGTGTGGTATTTATGAAACAGGCAAATGGATCAATGGAAAAAAAGAGCACAGAAATAGACCACCACAAATATAGTCAACTGATGTTTGACAAAGGAGCAAAGGCAATACGCTGGAGAACACGCAGTCTTTTTAACAAATTATGTTGGACATCCACATGCAAAAAACTAAATCCAGACACGGATCTCACACTCTTCACCAAAATTAACTCAAAGTGGATCGTAGGCCTAAATGTAAAACACAACACTATAAAATGTCTAGAAAATAAGAGAAAATCTAGATTATCTTGGGTTTAGTGATGATTTTTTTATTTTTTTTATACTGATTACTGTGTTCCAGGATATTCTTATTTTTGAATTTTTTATTTTTTTCTGTCTAGTCTCTAATTTTGTAATTTATATTTTTATTTCAATAGTTTCAGAGCAACAAGTGGTGTTTGGTTGCATGGAAAAGTTCTTTCGTGGTGATTTCTGAGATTCTGGTGCACCCATCACCTGAGTACACTGTATCCAATGTGTAGTGTTTTATCTCTCATTCCTCTCCCACCCTTCCCCTTAAGCCCCCAAAGTCCGTTATATCATTCTTAAGCCTTCGAGATGACTTATAAAATGCAACATAAAAGCTATGAGCAATGAAAGAAATAATTGATAAGCTGACATCATTAAAACGAAAAAGTTTTCTTCTGCTAAAGACAATGTCAAGGGAATGAGAAGACAAGCTACAGATTGGGAGAAAATATTTACAAAGACACATCTAATAATGGACTCTTATCCAAAATACACAAATAACTCTTAAAACCCAACAATAAGAAAATGAACAACCCAAATAAAAAATGGGCAAAAGACCTGAAAACACACCTCATCAAAGATACGCAGATGGCAAACAAGCAGAGTAAAAGATGCTCAACGTCATAGACTTTGGAATTTCTATTAAAACAATGAAACAGAATCACACACAATTGCAGTGCAGTTGAGCATAGCCCAGGTACACTGTTCCCAGACTTGTGTAGGGCTGGTTCCCTCTGTCTTGCCTTTCTGTTTGCAGCATAAACGCCACTTCATTGAGGTGCCGGGGACTCCCTCACTCTGTCCCTCCCGCCTCTCACTGCAAGTACCTGCTTTATTTTACTAGATGGCACCTGCTCTTTTCTTTCACCTGAATTTGCTTTCATGCTCTGTCCATCCATTCCTCCAGACGCTGAGCTCCTGAGGGCAGGGCCCATGCAGGTCATTTCTAGCACTGCACCGTGGCCTAACTTGCCCCTTGCACAGGTGAATGCTCCAGGCACAGTTTCCGAACGAATAAATGAGATATCGAAAAGCCCCCTCCCCACCTATGAGCTGCTCACATTGTGGAGATGGATGCTACTAACAGGAGACGCAAGTCGGGTGAGAGGCAGGGGGACACGCAGAGTGGCCCTGGGAGTCTCTCTGGCTACAGCGGCCCCACTGAGCAGAATGGGCACTGCGTCCCCTGACGGCCGGCGCTGGCACTGGAGACCCAGGCAGGGAACCCACAAACAAGCCCTCAACTGGGTGTGGGTGTCCTCAAGGCAGTGGGACTCCCAGGGCTGGGGCGGGGTGGGCAACAAAGGGGAGCTGCAAGCTCCAGGGGAGATAAGAGGGGTGTCGGAAGGCTCCCTTGACCCCTTTCCCTCCACTGTCCCCAGGAGAGCCCAGTCCACTCAAAAGCGTGGGTGTCCCGTCCACCCCATCCGCTTCCAAATGAGGGCCTGAGGCTGCAGCAAGGACGCTCCCCTCCTCATGCGGGGCTCGGCCTCCCCGCACCACCAGGACCCCCGCACTCCTGCAAGCCCCAGCTGCTCCGAGCCGGGAAGGACCCCAAAGTGTGGAAGGCCTTTTCCAAGGGCACAGTAGGTCCCTGACGGGGAACCAAAGCCAGGCAAACTTCTCCCAGGCTGGGGGCCTCAGGGCACCCGAGAAAGGCCATCCTTGGTGCAAGAAAGCGGGGCCCACTCCCGCGCCCTATGGTCCAGGGAACGCAGGACTCCGCACCGTGACCCTAGAGGTTGTCCTAGGATGGCCCGGCCATGGAGACCCCCAGGAAAGGTGAGGAACCCCTGCCCACCAGACTAACACTTCTGCCTACCTCAGTTGCGTGTGCACCCTGTGTGAGGGAGAAGGCACCCAGGAGGCCCGGCCGACGGGTACCGGAGCGGCACTGCCAGTCAACTGGAAAACCCTCCCCGCCCCTGCGTGGCTCTGCAAGCCAATTGGAAGTCCGTCGTCCGCGCCCCCGCAGCCAATCAGAATGTCCAGAGTGAGTGCCTCTAGCCATTTGGGACTCCCGCTGGCTCTGTGCCTTCAGCCAATCAGGATGCCTGTCTTTGATAAAACCAGCCAATCAGAGTGCCCGCCACGCGAAGCCAGCAGCCAGTGAGGAAGCCTGGCGTTCGTGCCTACAGCCATGGTCAGAGTGTCAGTCGTCACAAGGCACTTTCAGCCAATCGCAGCTTCGTCGCCAGCGCTGTGGTAACTCGCGCGGGGGGCGGCGGCGGCGGCGGCCATGGGAGATATCCCAGCCGTGGGCCTGGGCACCTGGAAGGTGACGCGGTCGCGGGCTGGGAGGCGCGGCTGACCTAGGGAGCCTGGGGCTTGGGGGCGCCCAATGGGGCCCAGGCCGGGGCTGGGGAAAAGTGCGGCCTCCCCTCGGCCTGGCCGGCGCCCAGGTAGGCGCTGCTGAGGTGGACGCCCGCCGCCCACACGCAGCCTGGCCCAGCCTTTCCTAAAACGGAGGCGGCGTTGCCCGCAGAGGCGGCCTCTGTGAGTCGCGGGGACCTCGGCAGCGGCACCTCTGACACTGGGGCCGTAGCGGTGGCGTTGGGTGGGAGGCCGAGCCCTCGTAGTGACTCAGAAATGGAGCAGGGAGGCTGAGGGGAGGCGGCGGCGCTGGACTCGGCCTGAGCAGGGACCTCGAAGCCTCCTCTCCAGCAATGAGAAAGAAAAGTTGGGGCCGGGCGCGCGGTGTGGGCTTGTAATCCCAGCACGTTGGGAGGCCGAGGCCGTAGTATCGCCTGAGCTCGGGGGTTCAAGACCAGCCAGATCAACCTGGCGAAACCCTGTTTATACAAAAAAAAGAAAAAAACTAGCTGGGCATGGGGGTGCGCGCCTGTGGTCCCAGCTACTCGGGAGGCTGAGGTGGGAGGATCGCTGGAGCCCAGGAAGTCAAGGCTGCAGTGAGCTTCGATGGCGCCACTGCATTGCAGCCTGGGGGACAGAGCCAGACCCTGCCCGAAAACAACAACAACTAACAAAACCCAAACAAAAAATTTAAGAGGAAGATTGGAATTGCTGACTAGGCTTTCAAGGAAACTTTGGGACCTCATGTTTTTCCCTGTTTAGAAGCAGACCGCCCGGATGCCTGAGAGAAAGGACCTATCATTGTTCTGTGCATTTATGGGGTGTACTGTGATGTTTTGAGATGCGTATACAATGCAGTGTGGTTAAATCAAGCTAATTAACATATCCAGCACCTCTTTCAGTTGTTTGTGGTGAGATGTTTGGAATGTATTGTCTTGTTTTGAAATACATGTTTGTAATAAATTATTGTTGACTGTAAGCATCCTAGTGTGCAGTAAATCTCAAAATCTATGTCTCCTGTGTGTCTGAAACTTTATATCCTTTGATCTGCAACTTCCCGTTCCCTTCTTCCTCACCCTCCTCCCAACCGGCAGGCTCTGATAACCACCCTTCTACTCTATGACTTTTCTCTACTTTGAACTTTACAATTCCTGTCAGTGATTTGAGACACAACACTGACTAAAAGTGTTTAAAATTTGATCTAAAAAAAAAAAAAAAAAAAAAAAAAATCATAAGGAAGAGAAACTGTATTTACTCTTTGTTGAGTGGAAGTGGATCATCTGGATCTTCATCTTCATTGTCACATTGAGAAAAAAAAAAAAAAAAAGGTAAACTTACTTGTTAAAAGCTATAAGAAGTCACATAGAAAGTTAGTTACAGAAGGAGTCAGAAATGGAATGTTTAAGTCCTGCTCATCAAATATTTAAATTATTTCTCCTACCTGCTTACCAACTTTTAGAGGTCAGAAGTGTCCCTTTGTTCATATTGGTTCTCAGCGTCTAGTAAAGGATGTGCATCTGGCAGCCATTCATTATAGCACTCGATAGATTAAACTGTTGAGTCTCTTGCTTCCCTGTCTTCTGCAACAATTCGGTGCAGGAGTCCAGACTCGTGCACACAGGATAAGGAAAAATTAGTGAAAATTGTGCTTAAGAGGTCAAAATATTGTATTTTTTTGGTGGGGGAGTACTGCAAGTGCATCAAATTGGATTAATCATAATTGCTCATCACTGGTTCTATGCAAAGACTTATTTTTACTTGGCTATTTTTTGGTAGTGAATGAACATCACAGACCTATCATCAGTTATCTGTTGTCCCAGAAATGCTGCATCAGTGGCCAAACACCAGAGCTCATTGGTATACAGCAGCAAGTGTATTCCTCCTGCACAGGAGGTCAGCAGAGCAGCTCTGTGGATCTTGGCTGGCTCCCTCACTTGTCTGGGGATTGGCTTGTCTCATTTAGGATGGTAGGGGCTACTCCACTTGGCTCCACACACCTCCCGTCTTCATGCAGCTAGTTAGGCAGTGTTCTCAAGAGAATGGCTGAAGCACAAGAGAGCAAGAGAAGCCATAAGATGTCTGGAGGCCTCAGCCTGGGCTCTGTTTTTTTTTTTTTTTTTTTTT